ACCTATTTACCCACCTATTGGGTCGTTTAGATATTTTATGGTCTTAATAGATGCATCTTCTAGATGATCTCATGTGTGCCTGTTGTCATCTCACAACCTCGCTTTTGCAAAACTAATGGCACAAATAATTCGATTACTGGCGCAATTCCCCGATAATCCAATTAAGCCTATTAGACTTGATAATGTAGCTGAGTTCTCATCCCAAACATTTAATGATTATTGCTTATCAATTGGAATAAAAGTGGAACATCATGTAGCTCATGTTCACACTCAAAATGGCCTTGCAGAGTCTTTGATTAAACATCTGCAATTGATAGTAAGACCATTACTCATGAAAACGAGATTACCCATTTCTGTTTCGGGTCATGCCATTTTGCATGCAGCAATGCTAATTCATCTCAGGGCGACAAATTATCATAAATATTCCCCGTTGCAATTAATTTTGGGTCATGAACCTAATATATCCTATTTAATAATTTTTAGATGCGCAGTATATGTGCCTGTAGAACCGCCATATCGCACCAAAATGGGTCCCCAAAGAAGGTTAGAAATATATGTTGGGTTTGAATCGCCCTCCATTATTCGCTACCTCGAAACATTAACGGGAGATTTATTCACTGCTCGATTTGCATATTGTTGATTTGATGAGACACTTTTCCCAAAGTTAGGGGGAGAAATTGGTGAAACCAAACAGTAAATTTTGTGAAAAAATCCACCATTATCTCATCTTGATCCACGTGCCATTATTTGTAAAAAAGAGGTGCAAAAGATTATCCATTTGCAGAGAATAGCCAATCAAATGTCAGACGCATTTACGAATCTGAAAAGGATAATAAAATCACATATCCCTGCAGAAAATGTTCCAATCCGTATTAATGTTCTTGGTGGACAATCTTCTAGTGTCATAGCTAATGAGTCAAAAGCACGCCTAAAACGTAGCAGGCCATTGGGTTCTAAGGATTGAAATCCTAGAAAAAGGAAAACAAATAATCAGGATGACACTATGAAAGAGTCTCTTGAAGAAATCCACGATTTAACCAATCCTGAAATTCATGAGAAAATCACTGAGCCTAAGACTCAAGAAAATAAGGAACTATCAATAAATTCAATCGATATTGAAACAGATTTGAATCAATTAGATATATTGGTGGATTATGTATTTGCATATAATGTTGCATCTAGAATTATGCAAAATAGTGAGGATATTGAACCTCAATCTATTGGAGATTGTCGACAAAGACATGATTGGCCAAAATGGCAAGAAGCAATCCAATCAGAGTTGAATTCACTTGCAAAACGTGAAGTTTTTGGGCTTGTAGTCCAAACACGTAATGGTGTTAAGCATGTTGGATTTAAATGGGTCTTTGTACACAAGAGGAATGAGAAAAATGAGATACAAAGATATAAGGCACGCCTCGTTGCACAAGAATTTTCACAAAGGACTGGTGTCGATTATGAGGAGATATATTCACCTGTTATAGATGCTATAACGTTCCGTTATCTTATTAGTTTGATGTCTATGAAAAGCTTGACATGCATTTAATGGATGTGGTTACTGCCTATCTTTATGGCTCACTTGATAATGAGATATACATGAAAATTTTCGAGGGATTTAAAATGCGTAACACATATAATTCAAAGTTTCGGAAAATATTTTCAGTCAAATTGTAAAGATCTTTGTACAATCTAAAGTAATTAGGACGATTGTGGTATAATCGTTTTAATGGGTATTTATTAAAGGAAGGTTATATAAATGATGTCATTTGCCCATGTGTTTTTATGAAGAAAACAACATCGGAATTTGTTGTACTTGCCGTATATGTTGATGACATAAACCTTATTGGAACTCCAATAGAACTCTAAAAAGCAATTGATTATTTAAAGAAGGAATTCGAGATGAAAGATCTCGGAAAGACAAAATTATGTCTCAGTTTGCGAATTGAACATTTGGCAAACGGAATTTTCGTTCATCAATCTACCTACATAGAAAAGGTATTGAAACGGTTTTATATGGATGGAGTACATCCATTAAGTACTTCGATGGTTGTTCGATCACTTGATGTGAATAAGGATCCATTCCGACCTCAAGAGAAGAATGAGGAGCTACTTGGTCCTGAAGTATCATATCTTAGTGCAATTGGTGTACTAATGTATCTTGCTAATACTACAAGGTCTGACATAACTTTTTCAATTAATGTCTTAGTAAGATATAGCTCTGCTCCTACAAGAAGACATTGGAATGGAATCAAATACATATTGCGGTATCTAAAAGAGACTACCAATATGGTTTTTTTTATGACAATAATTGTAGTCCCCATCTTGTTGGTTATGTCGATGCTAGGTATTTATCTGACCCACACAAGACTCGATCTCAAACAGGCTATGTGTTTACATATGGAGGCACTGCCATATCTTGGCGATCGACTAAGCAATCAATCGTGGCTACTTTATCTAATCATGTTGAGATAATTGCTATTCATGAAGCAGGTCGAGAATGTGTGTAGTTGAGGTCTGTAATATATCTTATTCGAGACAAATGTGGTTTGAAGTGTGACAAACTACCCACGATTTTGTATAAAGATAATGCAGCATGCATAGCCCAATTGAAGGGAGAATTCATAAAAGGAGATAAGACAAAGTACATTTCACCAAAGTTATTTTTCACACATGATCTTCAAAAGAATGGTGATATCAATGTGCAACAGATTCGTTAAAGTGATAATATGACCAATTTCTTCACTAAATCTCTACCGACGTCAACCTTCAAGAAGTTAGTGTACAAGATTGGGATGCGAAGACTCAATGATGTGAATTGATGCTCTAATCAGGGGGAGTTAATACGCGCTGTACTCTTTTTTCCTTACAAGGTTTTGTCTCACTGGGTTTTCCTTGCAAGGTTTTTAACGAGGCAACCAAAAGGCGTATTTCTAAATATCTGTACTCTTTTTCCTTCTCTAGAATTTTTTCTCCATTTATTTTAATTAAAGTTTTAATGAGGCACATTATCTGTTGAATACACATTCAAGGGGAGTGTTATAAATAAAGTTTTATTTAAGGTGAATGTCTATATTTTAGAAAGATTTTAGGGATTTTACTTGGTAACTAAGTCACTCTTTCCCTATAAATAGAGAGGTAAATGTTCACATAAACTGAAACAAATAAAATATTATTTATCATAAATGACAGAATGGTGAGTGATGATACGCATTAATTTATTAATTACTAGTAGTAGTAGTTTGTAATTGTCTCTCTTCCGGTCTTCCTTTTTCTAGTATAAGATTGTACTCGTATTTTGGTGAGAGGAAAATTTTAATATGGCAACACGATTCCTTATGTTTGAATAAAGAAAAAAAGAAAAAGGAAAGTGTAAAGGCAAATTAGTAAGGTGGTAGGCCTCATTTGTAATTTTAAGATTAAGACGTCTGAATTTTAATACACATCTGAATAGTAAGATGTGCATTAAGATTAAGACATCTGAATATGAATACACATCTAAATATATTAAGATGTGTATTAAGATCAGAATACTAAAAAGTAAGATTGTTTGATTTCTAACATCTGAATGCATAAAATTTATCTTTATTTGAAAAATAATAAACATAAAATTCAAATGAAATACTAACTAATCTAATATTCTATCAATAAAATATATAGTTTTTTAAAATATGATAGTTGTAGACGGTAATGGCTAACGGGTGAATGCCGATTAGAGGCGGTGGTTGCTGGTAGTTTTGGTTGATGATGATGGTTCATGCTAGTAGCTAGTAGTGATTGGTAGTGATGTCGATTATGATTGAGGATGGTAGTGGTGGGTGGTGATAGTTAATAATGACGGTTGGTGGTTTGTGATTGAGGAAGGCGGTGGTAGGTTATAATGATGGGTGGTGCCAGTTGTGGTTGTTAATGGTGATGGGGTGATTGGTTGTGGTAGTTGAGGTGGATAAGTGTTGATTGTAGGTGAGAATGATGGTGGTCAGAGTGGTGGGGATGGTTGATAATGGTGGCAACTATGATTGAGGATGATGGTGGTGGTGGTGGTTGACTATGATGGTGGTGGTGGTAGTGGCATGGTGGTAGTTGATAATGGTAGGCGGTGGCGGCAATTAATAATGAATATGTGATAGCATCTTAATGAAATTAAGTCTCTGTTATAGATTTTAATCATACAGACCTATTCAGACCCATTAAGTGGTTGTGAAGTAAAAAAAACAAACAAACACACTTAATGATTAAGATATGAATAATTAAGATTCAAACTTTAAAAACAAACGAACTTAATGTCTTAGATCTGAATGATTAAGATTCAGACCTCCATTAATTGCAAACAAATGAGACCAGAGTTCTTTGCCAGGCGCAAGTTTAAATTTAATTTGAAAAATTGTTCGTCTGAGATGTTTTTGCTAATGGGTGGTCTTGTATTAGTGTTTTCAAAGATGAGTTTATTTTTGAATTTCTGGAAAAGTATTTGATACGATTAGTTTTGCAAAGATGAAGCAATTTTTGGGATAAATTTTAAACTCAACTTTTCAAATTTCTTATAAACTCGAAATACTAAATTTGAATATTTGAAAGATTTGTGAGTTTGGAAATTTAAATTTTGCATATCAATTTTTGTTTTTGTTGCAATTATCCTTTGTGTCTGCTCTCTTTTCATAATCTTTTTATTCCAAATTACTATTTGAGAAGTTACAAAGATTCCTTTTACTATGCTTTTCTTAAGTAAGTATTTTTATATATTTTTAATTATCAAGTGTTATTGACTTATATTACTATTTTTAATATAATTTTAAAATACTATATAAATTTTATTTCAAATAGCTTAAAGAGTCTATACAAAAAAAAAAAAAAAATTAAGCATTTGACCCTCACACATAAAGTGGCACTATTAATTTTCAACAAAAGTGGAAATGAAATTGAATTCAAATGGGCGTATCTGGAATTCTGTCCATAGAAAATGGTATAGACGTAAAGTATAGCTAAACCGCACAATCAACCCTCCCACTCCGGGTCCAGAATACATTACAATAGGACGCTTGTTTCTTTCTCATTTCTCAAACGCACTACTCGACCTCTGACCAGTGACCAGTGACCAGTGACCAGTGACTGTTATTAAGGAGCAAATCTTTGGTTTTTGGACAACTTCTCTCTCTCTCTCTATCAGTCACAAAGATGTCAGGGCCTCAGTGCTGTGAGAACCCACCAACTTTGAGCTCAAGTAGCGGTGTTGGGTCAGTGTTAGAATTTGGGGGTCTCAAAACCTACGTCTCTGCTTCTTCCAATTCCAAACACGCCATCCTCCTCGTCTCCGACATTTTTGGTACTTACCCTTTTAACCCTTTATTGTCTGTTCTTATTCATGAACTTTTGGCAACTTGCTTCTTCTCAATTTTCTCTTTCTTCCTATTTTATCACCAAGATTGACTAATCTATTGATCAATTTGGTACGACGGAGATTTCCGAAAGTAAACATATTTTTTGGAAAATACTTCTGAAACAACTTTTTTTAGAAATTGATAAATAATGTTAGCAAATTAGATAATGTTTTAATGAAATTTGTAAGTTTAAAGATGGATAATGATATCTAAGTGTTATTACCTCAGTCCATTTTATGTGACACTATTTCATTATTAGTCCGTTAGTCATTGAGGCTTTTACTATTTTGGAAGTTACATAGATCTTTCTTTAAATATTTTCATTCTAAGAGTTGTGATCTTGTGTGTTCGTTGTTAAGTATCTTAATCTCATTTCAAATGCCAGATGAAGTTAGATGTTTTGAACCTTGGTACTCAACTCTTATGTCAAACACTTAAGGAAGAAAATTATGTTTTTCACCCTTGGTAATGTAAAACTATTACTCTTTTCGGTCAAAAGGGAGTTTATTATGGTTTGAGGATTAGTGTTGTTATTTATATTGGAAGACAGAACTTATGTTACGAATACTTTGCAGGTTATGAAGCACCAAACCTGAGGTATGTGCTGCTTCTCAATTTCAGCTTGGAGTTGTCAAATACCTTCTAAATACTTTCTGTACTTATGTACTTATGCTTGCACCATATGTATTCTCTAGTATGTTTCTCTGTTGTCAAGTATCAACAACTTCAGTTATTGCTTTCTTAGCATATACAACCACAACTATTTTAAAAAAGAAACAGAAGTCAATTCTCTAGGGTGTTTCTATATTGTTGACGACTTCAGTTTTTGCTNTTTTTTTTTTTTTGTAAAAACTGGAAAAAACTAAAAAAAAATTTTACTAAAAAATGAAAAAAACGATTTTTTTTTTCAGTTTTTACAAAAAAACTGCTTTAAAAAAACTGAAAAATATTTTCTTGTAAAAACTGAAAAGCAATTTTCTAAAGCAATTAAAAACTGGAAAAAACTGAAATATTTTTAACTAAAAACTGAAAAAAAAGAAAGTATTTGTTTTTTCAGTTTTTACAAAAACATTGCTTTGGAAAATTGATTTTCAGCTCTTTTTTTCAGTTTTTACAAAAAATATTGTTTTAGAAAATATTTTTCAGTTTTTTTTTAAAGCAGTTTTTATGTAAAAAGTGTAAAAAAAAAATTTCGTTTTTTTCAGTTTTTAGAAAAAAAACAAAAATTCATTTTTTTTCCAGTTTTTACAAAAAAAATTGCTTTAGAAAATTGATTTTCAGCTTTATTTTTTTCAGTTTTTACAAAAATATTGTTTTAGAAAATATTTTTCAGTTTTTTCTAAAGCAGTTTTTTTGTAAAAACTGGAAAAAAAAATATTTTCGTTTTTTTCAGTTTTTAGTAAAAATTTTTTTTAGTTTTTTCCAGTTTTTACAAAAAAAAAATTATTTTTCGGGTTGGGATAATGAGTCTTTTTAATTAATTAGGAGATATTTAGAATTGACCAACATGACGATGACACGTGTCCCTCCGTTCAAATGAGGGGTATATTTGAACCCAAAGTATGACTGTAGGGGTATAGATAACCCAATAGTATAACGAGGGGTATTCTTAGACCATTTTCGAAAGTAGAGGGGTATATTTGGCCCTTTGCCGTTTAAAAAAAGAAACAGAAGTCAATTCTCTAGGGTGTTTCTATATTGTTGACGACTTCAGTTTTTGCTCCTTAATCACAGATTTCAGGAGATTCATTTATCTTATCTGTGTATCTTTTTGTTTACATTTCAAGGGAAGAAGTTGGGGTGACCATTTTTTGCATTTTTTCCAGTAATTAAGCTGCAAAAAGTTTATGTTTTATCTTGGGCTGATTCCAAAGCTTAACTGCTGGTATGTAGGAAGCTTGCTGACAAAGTTGCAGCTGTGGGATACTATGTTGTGGTTCCTGATTTTCTTTATGGGGATCCTTATAATCCTGAAAATACGGAGAAGCCTTTATCAGTCTGGATACAATCACATGGAGCAGTATGTGTTCTGACTTATTTCTTTTGGGGTTGAGTTAGGCCCAAGTGCCATATCAATACATGGTATCATAGCCAAGTCCGTTCCCGTTTAAGACCCTATGATATATTGTCCACGCTCTAATTGGTGGTCTGGGCGTGTGAGGGCGTGTTAGAGTGGTTTAGAGTCGCACATTGGTTGGGGAATGGATCGGTGGTCTCCTTATATGGACTTGGCAATCCTCCCCTCAAGATTTAGCTTTTGGGGTTGAGTTAGGCCCAAGTGTCATATCTTTACAATAATATTGCCATCTATTTGCATCGAGAATATAAGGAGGCCATGCCATCATTATCACAGTTTTCCATTCATTAACTTTGTCACTTTGGGACTATCATTGTGCGACATTCAGAGTATCAGGCTCACCACCGTGTTATTCATTTTTTGCTTTGTTCTGTTAGGACAAAGGATTTGAAGATGCAAAGCAGGTTGTTGCAGCTTTAAAAGATAAAGGCATATCTGCAATTGGAGCTGCAGGGTTTTGCTGGGGTGGTAAGTTGTTCAATTTTCTCTTTTTGGATTATTATCCATCGCCGGTACTAGCATGTATAGGTTAATTTTTTGTGGTTGTCTGTGATCCTGATCTCCTGTTTCCTTAACAGCCAAGGTGGTTGTTCAACTAGCTAAGTCTGACGACATTCAAGCGGCAGTGTTATTGCACCCATCATTTGTCACTGTGGATGATATTAAGGGTACGACTGTTTTTTACCAGAATCATTTGTGATTAGATAGAGCTTTTACTCCTGGATTTTATACAAGTGCATTGCTTAGGGACAAAACATTTTATGTCTAAATGACACTAGAATATTGGTGACTTGTTCGGTCAAATTATATTGCTGTCCTAAATTTGTTCAATGTCTTATAGGAAAAATTATTACTAATTGCTTTTGCATATTCCTACGTCCTAAGTGATATTTGGTATCACATGTTTTCTGAATTCTAGTGAGTAAAGTGAACTGCATCATTTTTAGATTCTTCCTGTTTCCTTGAATTC